ATGTATTTAAACAAGAATTTGTGTATTTATACACACATTTATTTATTTATTTGCATATTTATTTATTTATTTGTGTATTTATTTATTTATTGTTTTTGCAGGTTTCGTCCTCCATAGTTTCGTCCTCCATACCTAAACTCGTTTTTAATAACGATTTTAATAAATAAATAAATAAATAAATAAATAAATAAATAAATAAATAAATAAATAAATAAATAAATAAATAAATAAATAAATAAATAAATAAATAAATAAATAAATAAATAAATAAATAACAATGTTAGTTTTCTAAATTAATATTTGTCTAGAAAACCAATTGACGATAATTTAAGCAAAAGCTTTTAAATGAAACTTTTTAAAAGACCGTTAGATAGAAGTAGCAAAAATAGAAGAGCATCTCCTTTACACGTAGGCTAAGTCAAATTTTAACAAGAAAAGCATCTCATTAAACTTGTTTGGGAAAAGATGACTTGTCTGAAAGACTGGACTTGTGTGCTGGTTTCCAGGGGTGTGAGTGTGATTCCAGGCCGGGCAGGGGAGGTTTGCGAGCTTGTGGTGGGGGGCAGACAGCTGTCCGGTCTCGCGCGGCGCAGTTTTCATATATGGTCACGTAATCATGGCAACCTTGACATACCCGTTCTAAAAACAGACCAGACGTGGAGGAAGGTGACGAAGCGTTTTGTACGCGTCCCACACGGGTAGACAGTATTACAACTGCATTTCTTTTGTAAGAAAATAAAAATAAACAGACCAACACACACCAGAGTGTGTTTGACGAGTGCGTGCGCTTCGCGTGATGAGCGTGGGTTTGGATCTTTGGTGCCCAAGAACGCGCGAGACCATGGAGAGTTTGGAGAGGCAGCTGATATGCCCTATTTGCCTTGAGATCTTCACCAAGCCGGTGGTGATCCTACCGTGCCAGCACAACCTCTGCCGCAAATGTGCCAATGACATCTTTCAGGTACCGCCAGTAGGCCTATACAAAACTTAAAGTTAATATGGTATTTTATAACACTATATTTCAAAAAACATCTTAAGAAGCTGGTATGAACATTTGGTATGTTACTGGTTCAAGATTGTCTTGTGCTTGGAATGGCTTGGAACAGTTATTAACCAGTTTAGACTACCTAATGCTTTCTAACATGTTCCAAAAGTACCAGTTTACCAGTTTCTTGTGGTGCTTTTAAAATCAGCATATGTACTGCTGTATAATGATGACAACTTATTATTTATAATACATATTTGTGTGTACAATTGGAGAAGTTGGTGAAGCTATGGGTGAAATGGGTGGATTTCATTCTTCCACTGAGACCAAACTTAATATGGAATTTTTAATAGCTAGAAATAAGATTGGAGGGGTAAATTTTAAGTTTAAAGAATCTAACAGTTTAAAGAGTCATAAAAATATCAGGACTGGGAAAGAGATTACAAATATAACATCCTCAGGTTCTTTGTGTATGGATTTGTTACTAAGCTAGACAAAATGCTTTAATAAATAATAAGTGCAGAACTGTAATAGTTATTGAATTACAAAAAAGACTGTATTATTATTACAGCTATTTTTTTATTAATCATCGTAATTGATATCTTTTTTATGCTCATTATTTTATAATTGCAACATTGATAAAGTAATATTTCTTCTGTCAGTGTATTAAGATGTTGTTTTATTTGTATTTAATGCATAAGACTATATATTCCATTCCCTTGTAAAGAACATCTCAATGTATTTGTATGTGTTTTAGGCCTCAAACCCCTACCTGCCCACACGAGGAGGTTCTACATTGGGCTCTGGTGGCCGGTTCCGCTGCCCATCCTGTAGGCATGAAGTGGTTCTGGATAGGCATGGGGTGTATGGCCTTCAGAGGAACCTGCTGGTGGAGAACATCATAGATATGTACAAACAGGAATCCAGCGGGTACTTTTACTATAACTAAACCAGCTTCATATCCTCTTCTCCAATCGTTTATGCTGTATAATCATTTTATTCTATTCTATTCTATTCTATTCAAGCACGTTGTCAGTTTGTGTGTGTGCGTGTGTTGGGCTATATTTATAATAGGCCAATGTGACAGGAGCTATTTCAGACACGTTCTGTGTTTATCAGTTGCCCCAACACACACACGCTTGGAAACACATCAACATGAACAACAGCAGTTACTTTCTCTCACTTCTCTTTTTTTTTTGTTGAAGATTCATATTCTATACTCTATACACTTATGTACAACATTTTAAACACTAGTATGTGTAAATAGAGGCAATTTAAGTAAAATCTCTTTGATTCTCTGTCAGCAGCAGTAAGCCTGAGCCAGAACTGAAGAACGATGTGTTGATGTGTGAGGAGCATCCGGATGAGAAGATTAATATATACTGTGTGACCTGCTCTATTCCCACTTGTTCGCTATGTAAAGTCTTTGGGAGTCATCAGTCCTGTCAGGTTGCTCCACTCAAATCTGTCTACGAGACCCAGAAAGTGAGACTGCTTTAAATCTATCTTTCTGCTTTCCTCTCCCTGCACCTCTGTATTTAATCTTCATGATGATTGATCAGTTTATATTTATGTGATTGTGTGCGCAGACCGAGTTGTCTGATGGTGTTGCTGTGTTGGTTGGCAACAATGACAGAATTCAGGGCGTCATCAGTCAGCTAGAGGAAAGCTGCAGTGCAGTGGAGGTGTGTGTGTGTGTTATCAACAGCAATTACTTTTTTTTTTACCATGCCGTCAACGTTTAGTTATTTCTTACATTATGGTCCTTGTAATGATGTCAGTGCATGTGTGTTTGTGTGTAGGAGAACGGTCGTAGGCAGAAGTCTCGTGTATGTGAGTGGTTTGATCATCTGTATGCTCTTCTGGAAGAGCGCAGAGGAGAACTCACACTGAAGATCACCGCAGAACAGCAGGAGAAACTTGACTACATCGGTGGCCTACAGTGCAAGTACATGCACACACACACATAAATGCACACAACACATTTATCTGCTTCACTCAAAGTTTTTTTAATGTCCTTAACAGCATGTTTTCTTTATTTTTCCATAATAAGTATGTTTATGCAGGTTTTACACACTCTGCTAATCACAGCAATCACCTGTGCAGGTACAGAGAGCACCTGGATAACACAGCTAAATTAGTGGAGACAGGATTTCAGACGATGGAGGAATCTGAGATGGCCATCTTCTTGCAGGTCTGCCAAGTTCTTTATTGTAGTCTTGCATGTTTTTCTTTAACAAAAACACTTAAAGTAAAATAATATGTTGTGTATTAGAAAAGAAAGCATGTTTTTGCAATGGATTAAGTTTTTAATCTACACGTCTCTCTAACAGAATACGAAGCCTTTACTACAAAAGTAAGATTCAAATAATCATTTTACTGATTATAACTGTTTTTTTAAATTGTACACTTCATCCTTCTGATGCCATCTTATTCATTCTGTCTTCTTCATCTCAGGATAGCAGAAGGCAGGAATGTGTCTCATTTAGAAAAGGTGGAACGTGGATATGAAAATATGGATCATTTCACTGCAAACTTCAGCTCTGAACGTAGAACAATACTTAGCATGGACTTTACCAAGGGTAAATTAACTCTAATCCTAACCTTTTTTTTTTTTTTATCTGTTCCTTTATATAAGATCTTTCTCTCTGTTATTGTAGATGGTGATGAAAATGAAGAGGATGATGATGATGAGGAAGAATTAGCAGGTACTGTTAGTCCAGAGACTCAGACATCTTCATTGGCTACACCCGCCACGGCCCAGCAGAGACAAACCCCTGTACCGACATCTCCACCAATGGCAGCTGACTCCTGCCAGATGTCATCAAAACCAAGTCAGTCAGTGAACATCAACCCAGCAGAAAACACGCCCTTATTTACGCCCACTCTAGACACAAGTCACAACTCTTCCACAGACGCACCTGCTCAGGTAAGATTCTGTCTCCCTTACTCTCATCCATATTTGTGGTGCCTTGAAATTGTGATCATTTAATACCATTTTTTAGGATTGGTCAGTAAATGTTTTTAACTTCGGGTTGGTGAAAGACTCAGAAAAACATCTGAGGACATATAGGGATCACAAAGAGTGGCTGCTGTATTGGGATCAGCTTATATTTTGCTGAGATTCAAACTAACACAATCTCATGGCAATTTGTAAATATTTTGTGTTTTATCGAATTGGTGTTGGTTGCTAATTAGTATGATCTCATTCCTACATTTTTGGATGTTCTGGACACATCCTAGTGAGTTAGTGGTGGACCTTCATGCTCACTTTTTTTTCTAAAAATCAAGACAGTACAAGACCACTGACACCAAAATATGGACACTTTTGTAGTTTATTTTTCCTTTGTTTTATGTAATGGTACTTAAAATTTGTCAAGTTATACTTTTTGTAAAACAAAGTAGAACATATGTTGACAAATTCAGTGAATTACATTGCAAAATTATAATTTTTTCCTGCATAAGTTTTCTTACAGAATTCAACATGTTGAAAATATAAAATGTTAGCCATGTCAGATTTAGGACATTCATGAAATGAAAATGAAAAAGACGTATTGAACGATTTTACTTTTTCAAAATTACCAATTTTACATAGTTTATATGGTTCTTTATTTATTTATAATGTGACCCAGTCTCTCTAAACTAAAGAGAAATTGAGATTTAAAAAAAATGCAACTGCCTGCCTGGAAAGAGTTCAACAATCCTTTCTACAAATTATATTCAAATTAAAATGTTGAACATTGATTCATGTCTTTTGCCCACATTAATGGCCACAATATGTGTAAGAGTTTTCAGGAGTGTCGCAATATCATTATCATAAAATGATTTGGTAAATTCATTTACTTATATAATCAGAAACCAGAAAGAACTGAGTAATAACTGAAAGTGTCCTCAAAAATACAACTAAACAGAATTAAAGAACAATACAAACACTGTCCATCCGGAGGCTGCCCATCATTAAAATGGGATTTAAAGGGGTCACATGATGTTGCTAAAAAGAACATTATGTTGTGTATTTGGTGTAATGAAATGTGTTTATGTGGTTTAAAGTAAAAAAAAAAAAACATTATTTTCCACATACAGTACATTATTGTTTCTCCTCTATGCCCCGCCTTCCCGAAACGCGTCGATTTTTACAAAGTTCATCGGTCTGAAAAGCGAGGTGTGCTCTGATTGGCCAGCTATCCAGTGCGTTATGATTGCCCAAATTATACCTCAAGCGTGTGACGGAAGTGTTATGCCCCTTACCTTACTGTGCAGTGTCCTGGCGTGACGAGACAAAAACGTTAAAACCCATTACAAACGAGGCATTTGTTGCATACAGTGGGGACATAATTACTGAGCGTAACATAAAACCATGTCTGCATTTGTGATCGGAGAAATTACAAACAACAAGTGCTACTCTACACTGCCCAAAACTCGAGTCTGAATCATCAGTGGCAAATTCTTTAAATATGAAAACATACTTACAGGCTGTGAGTCAGAACACCGGCACTGTAGTCTACTCTACCAGGATCAGGAAACAGCCCTTCATAAAATGCGCTGCACACATCTGAATATTTGGGTTGAACTGTTCTGGAACAGTGTTGTAAATACAACTTAACCACTGATTTCTAGTCGTGTCCTCTTTTGGAAGGCCAAACAAAGTATTTTCGCTTTCGCAACGAAACACACAGCGTCTTCACAACATGGCGGCGGTGGTGGCAGCAACAATAAAGTTACGCCTTCTTTCTTTGCGTGAACATTTGGGCGGCGTTATGCAAATCTTCCCACATCATGACGTAGACATGTGGGGGCGTGTTTAAACGAGGCGTTTTAGGAGGGCGTGTACGAGTCTTAACTTTTATAAAGAATATCTCTTTGGGTTTGAGACTTTAGTCTTTGCAACTTTAGGGATCTTATCTATTCACAAACAGCTTGTAACACTCCAAAGAGAAAGGAAAACTTGAAATCGCATCATATGACCCCTTTAAACATGAGCAATAGGCTGGTAGCTTCAGAATCTGAGCTGCTAGTCAAAAGGCTGGAAGTTTTTGTCCCAAAAGAGCTGAGGACAAAACCAGAACAATCCTGAATTACGAGTGACAATCAAAAAATGCCTAAACTCTGACCTGCCCCGTCTCTAACCTTTCAGTCATTTCAAAACTATTTCATATGACCACAGATAGATGCTGTATTATGTTATGACCACAAATCACTATGAAAACCCTTTTGCTCTGTCTTACTGTTTCTATTTCTGTCCAGTCATCGCCATCTGTCTCTTTACATCTCACTTTCTCCTTCTTTTCCATATATTTAGGTAACTGCCGGTCCCAGCCAGACATCTGAGGATGGACCATGCCACGTTTTCTCTTTTTCCTGGTTAAATATGCCAAAATAATATCAGACTAAGTTAGTAAACCTGCAACATCACAGTACGTTCCAGAAAAGTACTTCATAACTAATATTTTGTTACTTTGACACTACAGTCATAAATATGCATTCAATATCAAAGTAGGAATTTGGCGAGATAAAAACACAACTGTTAGGCCTAAATATTCATTGATAATATTTTCTGACTAAAGTAGCTGACTAAAATGGAAAATAAAGGATTATTAATATGTGTATAAGTCTTGTCTTTTGTATATGTTCATACTGAGGAATAAATTAAATGAATAAATTAAAAGATGAAGGAAAAGGCCTACAAGAACAAAAAGATGATTCACATGTAAACCCTAAACATGTCTAACGTCACTTTAGAAATAAACATAAAATCATATTTTAATACCTTATACATATAATGTATTTGTGTAAGACGTGTATTATTTTCCTAAATCGTCCATAATCTTGCGGTTGTTGCTCGCGCGCTGGGCCAGTTGTTCGGCTCGCGCCATCTGCAGCACCTCGCGCAACAGGTGAAAAGTAAGATCCAGCGAAATTGGCGGATCCTCAGACCGGCGCTCCCGCTCCTCGAGGCTGTTTATGATCTCGTTACCGAGACTACCGAGCTTACCTCCTAACCGCCGCTGCGTGAGCTGCAGCTGAAGCGCCTCGGTGCGTGTCGGTGATCTCCGGTCTGGCGCGCGCGGACTGTGAGCGGCGTTGTCCAGCCTGATGAAGTAATCCGCTCCCGAGCGCATCAGAACCGGCAGCTGCGTGTTCGTGTGTCCGGGGGCGGATCCAGAAAGCGAGACAAACACACCGAGGGACACAGCAGCGAGTTGCACGTGCAGCTTCATTGAGGGAAACTCCCGGTTATCTGAATAAACATGATATAATGGGCGATAAAAACGTGAACAGGACTTGAAAACGTTTTTTCTCTCTCTCTCTTTATTCTTTAATGTGTGCATGACTTTTATACATTAATACTTTCTTTAATACTTTTATATAACCCATATATGGGTTCCAGAAATCTGAGACTAGCCTACTGCACTTTTTACCTGAAAATATTCTATTCCATTTGAGCATTTTTAATGACATGCGGGCATATAGTCATCCTGTTACGCTTTAATGTTTACATTTACATTTAGTCACTTAGCAGACGCTTTTATCCAAAGCGACATACAAATGAGGACAATAAAAGCAGTCAAAACTAACAAAAGAGCAACAGTTTTAATGTTTAAAAATGTAATGTTTAATGCATTTTTTTTTTGCAGTGTAGCCAATAGTTTCACGTCATAACTTTTCAAAATTCCATTCCTTATGTCTGGCTTTAAGAAAAAAAGTGGGCTCAGACTTTTGATTCTATTTCATTACTTTTATTACAAACAACTATTTTAAATAATTAACTAACACTTTCTTACGCAGCACATTAACGCATTAGCATAGCTACAGTTTACATTTATGTCATTTTGTAAAAGGCATGATTTGAGTTCATGCTTACCTCAGGTCGGTGTCCTCTGGAAATTACCTTGTTTGTGAGAGTCGGTTGTCGGTGCATCTCGAGCATCAGTGGGGTTTATTTATATGAGGCGAAGAGCATCTTATTTCTGAGATGACAGAATCACCGGAATGAGTCATGGAATAATTGGCTGCGGTTCAAGTAAATCCAAAATGAAAATGCTCCTGCATTCCGTCGTGTGTTTAGTTCACGTTGTAGATTTAATCGAGAGTCAGTCTCCTCTGAATTAACCGGGACTTTCTTAATTCGTGTTAATCAATCTGATTTAACCGCCGGTAATTGAGAGACTCTGATGATGACGCACTGAAGCGCCGAGGGAGAGCAGCGCACCTCCACCTGTTCAAATCGTTGGCACCGATGAGCGCAAGATCTGAGACACGAGTAATCAATCCAGGGTATACGGGGTCAAAGGGCCTCCCACGCGGGATCAGCTGGTTTACATCTTACCCTATTAAAATAATCACCAACATGGACAAAATGCATTCATCCATTTTCCAAATTGCCTGTCGTGGGAATGCTGGAGCTCAAACATGAATGCCCAGCTGTGAAACGGGGACAGTTATTGAGTCACCACACTGCATTATAGCTACAAACAATGTATTCATGAATGTGCCTTATTTAGGAGGAACAGGTGCTTTTTTGTTTAGTAAAATGTTAGTCTGTAGGGAAATGTGAACTTATACGCAATGTCATAAATTTGATAGAATTTGATAAGTTTGTTAAAAAAAGCTTTCTTTTGTTTTTTCAGCTAATAAAATATGTTTTGCTAACGTTCAGGGATAGTTCACCCAAAAATGAAAATTCTGTCATCATTTATTCAACATTTATTGCACCCTGTATGAATTTATTTCTTCTGCTGAACTCAAAAGAAGATATATTGAATAATATGGGTAAACAGTTTTTGGTCCCTATTGACTTCCATAGTATTTTTTTCTGAAGTCCGTGGGGAATAACAACTGCTTTGTTACCAACATTCTTAAAAATATCTTGTTTTTTGTTCAATGCAAAAAAAGAGAAACTCATACAGGTTTGGAACAACTTGTAAATTGACAGAATTTTCATTTTTGGCTGAACTTTCCCTGTATGAAAACATTTCTAAACTTTCAAAATGTCCAGTTTTACTTTTTTTTTTCTTTTTCCCTTAGTTATGCAGATAATAAGGGAACATTCCTTTTTCATTTCGCAAACATTATGGGAACGTTACTTTTGAATGTTCTCTAAACATTCTGAAACAAGTAATTAAAAAATATTAGATGAACATCCAAGTAAAACGTTTCAGAAAATAATTAATCTCATTTATATAAAAGTGTTTGTGTTTCTAATGGTTTCTGTTATATTATTCTGTTATAATTACTGACAGATTAAATAATTATGTTAAAGTGGTTCAGCTGTTAGAAAAAGTGTTCTGTTAAAATCAATTAACACAGACAGCTGCTTCACACTGAACTGTTCAGCACAACACCATTAATTAATTATGACTTGAGTAAATCACAGTCAGCACACTATGATAACACAGCAGGGACATGCTTTATGCATCATTTCATGACTGTGGTATAAATAAATAGGCTATATATTTTTATTTTTTTCTGTAGTATGTTTTCATGCATCCTGCAGGAGTCAAAATGTACAAATGTATATTTTCTCAAGCAGTTGTTTTATTTCTTGGTTTCCAAACACCTAGTTCTTGTGATTGATTGATTGATTTTTGGTGGCTCTGTAGCTGTTGGATGAACAAGTGAACGCAATAAAACTACACTGGTAACTATACAATAAAGGGAGACTTTAATGAAAAGTAGGCTACTCTATAATTGTTTTTATAATTTTTTTTAACTTTGCTAAAAAAAAAGAAGAAGAAGCCTATATTAGGCAATTTAAAGGGGTCATATGATGCGATTTCAAGTTTTCCTTTCTCTTTGGAGTGTTACAAGCTCTTGGTCAAGCCCCCCGGCCTCCACTCCCTCTAGCCCTCCAGCCGTTCCTCACTCTAGCCCCCGGCCTCCGCTCACTCTAGGCCGCCGCCGCCGCTCACACTAGGCCACCGTGTGAGACGCTGTGTTTCGTTGTGAAAGCGAAACTACATTGTTTGGCCGTCCAAAAATGGACACGACTAGAAATCAGTGGTTAAGTTGTATTTACAACACTGTTCCAGAACACTTCAACCCAAATATTCAGATGTGTGCAGCACATTTTATGGAACAGCTAGTCTACATTTGTATTTTTAATTTTTTTATTATGCAATAGAAGAACAACAAATAATTACAAAGACAAGTAAGAACAAAAGACAATAAGGGTTACAAACAATACTCCAAAGCATACTATGTTAGCTTATAAGACTTACACCATGAAAGAGTCTTACATGCAATAGAATTATTAGAGTTTCTTAAAGAGTTTACATACACATCAAAATCTTTCCTGAAAATAAAAAAGTAGGGAGTTTTATTTGAAAATTTACACTTATGAATGTCAAATTTAGCAAGATATAGCAAAAGATTAATAATAAAGCACAGCTTGCTTTTCAGACCGATGAGCTTTGTAAAAATCGACGCGTTTCAGAAAGGCGGGGCATAGAGGAGAAACAATAATGTACAGTGTGTGGAATATAATGTGTTTTTTGAACCTTAAACCGCATAAACACATTTCATTACACCAAATACACAAAATAATGTTCTTTTTAGTAACATCATATGACCCCTTTAATTAACTCCCATTGTGACAACTTAACCCATATTAGTGACAATGTGCCCCGCTACAGAAACTGGCATTCAAAAATAAACGTGTGAGAAAAAAGTCCCGGCTACAGTATATAAATATAAATATAAATATAAATAAATAGTCATGTTTCCACCTCAGTCATGAGTGCATACCTGTCAGCAGGTGGCAGACGGACACGGTGCGAACTGTACGCGGCTGGAGGCGCGCACTAGCGGGCGCGAGCAGGAATCATGGCAGGCGGTGAGAGAGTCGCTCATCTGATGCGTCAGCTCGCGAGCGCGGCGTAAGTTTAAATCGTTTTAAGTTTAAAGTATTTAAGGTATTAAAGTGTGTTAGTTTTAGTGAGTGCACGTTCATATATCTATGTGTATAGGTTATGCATGTTGACTCTTGTCAATGCCCTAAGATAAATAAGAGTTGTAAACAGACCCTTAAAGGGACAGTTCACCAAAATAAATTCTGACATAATGTACTCAACCTCATGTTGTTCCAAACCTGGAGGACTTTCTTTCTTATGTGGAACAGAAAATAAGATATTAGGCAGAATGACAGCCTCAGTTTTCGTTTAATTTCATTGCAATTTGTTTTTCCAGAATGGTGACTGATTTCTCCTGCCAAACATCTCCTTTTTGTTTTCCACAGAATAATCATTATAACAACTGATATTTTTTGAATGCAATATGTTTTATAGGTGCAGATGCCCAGCTCATTCTCAAGCGTATTCCCACACTTATAACCGAGGTAAAATATTTCAGTGGTTTTTCTCTGAATAAATGGACTCTGCCATATGTGAGTGTGTTTTGTGTGTGTAGTTTCTACAGGTGAGGTTCATATGTGTGAACGGAAAACAGATTATGCATTTGAAGTAAGTGCACAACATGCATGCATTTAATATTCAATAGTTATGCGTTGTGAAATATAGTTTCACCACTTATTTATAGTTTTTTTAAACAATGTTAAATATTTGATTTTATGCCTTGTTACATGATTTACAGTTATTTATTGTGAAACACTTTTCTCTTAATCAATGTCAGTCCCTCAGTATAATTATGAATCTGAATATCCAGGAGTTACATCATAACATCAAAAGATCTTTATACTATAATAATTATAAATATTATTATTATTGTGGTTATCCATTTCATTCTTGTTGTTCTGTTTCAGATGGCTTGTTCAAATATCAGATATGGAGCAGGAGTTACCAGAGAAATTGGCATGGTAAAGGGATATTTCACCCAAAAATGAAATTGTATCTACATTTACTCACCCTCATGTACTTCATGTTTTTGTATGTGCACCATTTGTAGGCACTGAACTGATTAAGTAGACTCTATTATTGCTCATCATATTGCATATTGCTCAGAAAGTCCCTGTTCAGTTGATTTCAGTTTAGCTTTGGAGTTGTAGGTCGTTGGTTGTGAAGTTTGCTGTTTTGGCTGATATAAATCAGGATTTGCAGAACATGGGAGCACGTAATGTGTGTCTGATGACGGATAGGACCTTGTCTCAGCTGCCGCCGGTTGGAGTAGTGCTGGACTCATTGACTAAACATGGAGTCAAATATAAGATCTATGAGGATGTGCGAGTAGAACCAACAGACAAAAGGTGAAAATGTGCAGATTGTTGGCAGTTTTAATTGATGTCCATATAAGTGTTTCAAATTAAAAACAACAGTGCAAAAGCAACTTTTCTTTATCTTTTCAGCTTTAAAGCAGCGATTGATTTTGCCAAACAAGGACATTTTGATGTGTATGTTGCTGTGGGCGGGGGCTCTGTGATTGACACCTGTAAAGCAGCCAATCTCTATGCATCTCATCCAGAGGCAGAATTTCTAGACTTTGTCAATGCACCAATTGGAAAAGGAAAACCCATCACAGCCACACTGAAGCCACTAATTGCTGGTACAAAGTCAAACTTAATATTACTTTTTCTTTTTTTCCCCTTTCTGTCTCTCTCTCTTAACAACCATTGACCATAGAACAACCATTTAAAAACTATTGCAGATATGCTGATACATTATACGTGCTTTTTTGTGTGTGTGTCTGTGTATGTGAAAGTTCCTACTACGGCTGGAACGGGGAGTGAAACTACAGGAGTGGCGATCTTTGACTTTGAGAACCTGAAGGCCAAAACTGGTTTGCAGAATCATTTTACTCATTAACATTTCATCATCGTTCTCCATATACAGAGTTGAGAAAGGTTGAGTGTTGAGTTTTAGGTTTAAGATGACGTAATGGTTAAAGGGTTAAATAGTTAGGGTGTAGTGTGTAAGTTTGTTGTGTAAGCTTAGCACATTAATGTGTTTGTCTTTTCAGGTATTGCAAATCGAGCCCTAAAGCCCACTTTGGGAATGGTGGATCCCCTACATACTCTTCACATGCCATCCAGAGTGGCAGCTAACAGTGGCTTTGATGTGCTCTGGTGTGTGTTTACATGCACACAGTATTTATTAACTATGTTCTAACTAAGGCAATCACTAAACAAGGTAACAGCATTATTAACTGTGAGAAAATGTAAGTATACTGACAGAAAGTACTGGTTTGAGGATTCTGTATAAACCTGCTTTATTATCTGCCCATTTGGTGTTTCTAATTTTTGGAATGAAAGGAAATAAAACGACTTATTAATGCTAATGTATAATAAAATTAAAATTTTTCATGTGATGGCACAGCTGAATTTTTAGCAGCCATTACTCTTCAGTGTCACATGATCTTTCAGAAATCATTCTAATATACTGATTCTAATATGATACTCATTTTTATTTCAGGATTCTTTGATGAATAGAAAGTTAACAGCATTTATTGGATCATTATCTTTTGTAACAATGTACAGTAAATGTCTTTACTGTCACTTTTGATCAATTTGATGCATCCTTGCTGAATAAAATTATTAGTGTCTTTAAAAAATCTTACTAACCCCAAACTTTTAAATGGTCGTGTGTATATTTGATATTTATGTTTAGATAATGATATTCATTGTGCTTGTTTTAAATCCTTCTCTTTTTAGTCATGCATTAGAGTCATTCACTGCTTTGCCGTATAACCTAAGGAGTCCCTGCCCATCCAACCCCATCAATCGTCCAGCTTACCAGGGCAGCAATCCAATCAGTGATGTTTGGGCAAGACATGCTCTCAAGATTGTTGCCAAATACTTGAAGAGGTATGTTCCTGTTTTTAGGATGTATAATATGATTTAGGTCATGAGTTTTGTTGTTTATTGACTATTTGGGTACTTTATTGAAATATTTGATATTTAAATTTTTTCTGTATTTAAAAATTATTATATTGAAATGTAATAATGTTAAGATATGAAGACGCGTGTGTTGTAGGGCGGTGCGTGATGCTGGAGATGTGGAGGCTCGCTCCAGCATGCACCTGGCCAGTGTGTTTGCTGGAATTGGCTTTGGCAATGCAGGAGTCCATTTATGGTAATTAAATAGAACTAACATTAAATTAACACCCAAAAAAGAGTTGATTCTGGTAATGAGTTTGGCAGCGTCAAATTGCAACACACTTAAGAGACTGCTAATGGAATCACTAGTGCTGCGCTGTAGTAATTCTCCATATTTGTGTACATCAGACAGCACAGGTGGACTGAACTTACTGCTGTGAGAGTTCAAGGAAAGGCGTAGAGATCTCACAGCTCTTGTTGAAAGTTAGTAATGGCTAGTTGGTGATGCAGGCATTAACCTTCATGACACTTTTAAGATAACATGCCTTTCATTTCAATCCAATAGGAAAATCACATGTACGGTGATGTCCTTCCAATAGTTCTATTGATATTTATTTGTGGAATTTATCTGATAATGTGTTGTTGACTTTTCCTTTTCTTTGTTCAAGTCATGGAATGTCGTATCCCATTGCTGGGAATGTCAAAACTCACAGGGCTAAAGGCTACAATGTAGAACATCCTATAGTGGTAACTATAAACTGTATTATACTACCGTTCAAAAATTTGGGGTCAGTAAGTTTTTTTTTCTTTAGCACCAAATCAGCATATTAGAATGATTTCTGAAGGATCATGTGACACTGAAGACATCACAGGAATAAATTACATTTTAAAATATATAAAAATTATTTTGTTTGTTTTTTTTAAATTGAAGTGATATTTCACAATATTGCTGTTTTTACTGTATTTTTGATCAAATAAATGCAGCCTTGGTGAGACTTAAACAAAAATATTAAAAAATGACAAAAATATATTTTAAATATATTTTTATATTTTATATTATATTTTTATATGTATATTTTTAATAATATTTAAAAAAAAATCTTATTGACCACAAACTTTTGAATGATTGGATCTCAAAGTAGTTTCTTTGTGTTTTTTCCTGGTGGCAGATTCCCAGTGTTTTTCACGCTCTAGTTTTACCTTGCCGTTTTCTTTCAGCCTCATGGACTCTCTGTAGTTCTTACTTCCCCTGCTGTTTTTGCCTTCACTGCAAACATGTGTCCTGAGCGCCACCTGGAGGCAGCACAAATACTAGGTAAAACGCATAGAAGGCTAAACTCAAAACTGTGTCAGATATTAACACTGTAATGTTATAGTAGCTTATAAAGATGTCTCATTCAGAAAAGCTGCTAAAGAAATGTATTAATTTATGTTGCTGTGTTGGAAAGTTAAATGTTTATTGTGTAAAATGCATATTTAGTTTGTGCTGTTTATGTTATGAATGACTTTATTTTTTGGAGATAATTTTATAGAAAGTTCTATATTTGAAACATTGTATGATTTAATTGGCCATGGTTAATGTTTGTGTATGTGTTTTATAAGGTACCGATGTGAGTAGCATCAAGAAAGATGATGCTGGCCGTGTGTTGGCTGACACTCTCAGATCGTTTCTGTATGACCTGGAAGTGGAGGATGGCTTGTCTTCAGTTGGCTACACTAAAGAGGACATTCCATCTTTGGTGAAGGGCACCATCCCTCAGGTCAACATATCACGTCACGTCCCTGTACTAAAAACGCTACAGAGATCATTTTTTTTTGCTGAAAGCTGAAATTCTGCTCCATCAAAAATCACCCAAGCAGCTTAATCACCCGAGAATGTGAAATAAGGCAATTTAAAGGGCTGGACTCCTTCAGCTAAAGTGACTGTTTACAAGAAAGAAACTACAGCTATAATAATTATTATAACTATAATTAATATCTAATATTTGTAATTTCATAATTATTCATTCGTATTAATTGTTGATATTTGTTATATTTAAAGGGGTCATATGATGCGATTTCAATTTTTCCTTTCTCTTTGGAGTGTTACAAGCTCTTGGTGCATAAAGAAGATCTGTAAAGTTGCAAAGACTAAAGTCTCAAATCCAAAGAGATATTCTTTATAAAAGTTAAGAGTCAGCCTATATAAAATAAAGTATAAAAGTTATTTTTTTCACAATTTTTATTGTCCCTCCCATATTAAAGTGTATTAAGTAAAATTAAACTTGATGTAGGAGCTACATCATTAATGCTTATTTTAATGACTTCACAGTTTTAGCATCATAACAAAGTATGTACATACATTAATATGGTACTATACGTTTTATAGCCCCAGTTTAAATGGCAACACTCCAATGCTTACAACATTATACTAACCAATATCACATTATATTGTGTGTTAAAGCTATCTCAGAGTGATTAATAGAGTTTGTTTGTGTGTGTTTGACAGGAGCGGGTAACTAAACTGTCTCCTCGAGCTCACACTGAAGAGGATCTGACTGCTCTGTTTGCAGCATCCATGAAGCTCTACTGAGCAGACTGAGGGACATTTTAACATATTGACGGGGTTCTCAGAAGCACAGCCTCTGATTAGCTGTGCTGATTTCATTATGTAAGCAGAGACATTGATCTCAACACTCTGACCTCACTGACCTTTAATCCTTTCAGTGATGTCACTGTTCTGAGCCAGAAAAGCAGAGACAGTAACACACTCACAATCAGATACAGTATTCTGCATATCTAAAATGACACATACATGTTTTTACTGTGATGTCAGCATATTTCAACATAATTATCATTGTAATATATTTAAACCACCCTGCACACACACACACACAGAGTATGCATACTCTCCATTCAATCTAACTATTAAGGCTGATTTGTTAATCAGAGTGATTTAGGCAGGTTGGATTTAAATGAGTCTAATCTAAGAATCAGGTTTAGACTTTAGACTCTAGTAAGCAACATTGTTTTTTTCAGTTGAGTTGTTTTTATATCTTAAATCAATGATGACTTAAAACTGATTAATGCATTCAGATTCATTCATTCATGCTGTCCTGAAATGTTTATCTGAAGTGAGGAACGCTTATAGGATTTTAAGATCTTAAAATGATAGAAATATTAATAAACGAAGATGTCAAAATACTTTCCCTATATCTTAGTATTTCACTAAAATGTATCATCGCTACACAAGTAATTTTCTTTGAAATGGAGCTAGAAGCATTAAAAACCGGATTTAATGGAGTATATAAATTATTGTGTGAAAGATAATGAAACCTGAATATTTCTTATTGTACTGCAGGCTAATAAAATTGATGAAATATGAAATATTATTTTGCTGTGCCTTTTTTTTTTTTTACGTATATGAGGTTTTCTATGTAGGGAGCTGTTTCGCTAAAGGACTGGGTATAGAATGTGAAGTGTAGTGTTATTTGTTATTGGTGTGAGTGCAGCAGAGAGTTGACTTTTAGAAGCATGTGATTGGCTGATCAGAGCTTTGGCTTCTGGAAGTGTGTGATTGGCTGATCACAGCTATGACCTGCAGCATTTAAACTACTGAAACAGATTTAAATAGATTTAAGAGTGCTGATGTTTCCTAGAAAAGCACCTAAACAAGATCTTGTAATGTGTGTGCGTACAAGAGAGTATTTAAAGAGGGGAGAAGATTTAGCAATTGCAGTGATTCTGAATAAAGCGTCTCAGTTCTTCTTGCAGTTTGTGTGTTGTTTGACTTCGTCATGCAGCAGATCTACACACAGAGCCATGAAGAGTTTGAGGTGTTCACCACTGTTCTGTCGCCTCAAGGTTAGTCATCTTTTCTTGCTCACTTTGATCATTTCTGCTTAATTTACAAATATCATTACAGCAAAATGATTGAATCTTTCAGTTTGTCGGAAGAGAGTGATTTTCATGCACCAAGGAGAAATGGTAACACATTTTCTCATTTGAGCTGCAGGATCATGTAATACAGCAGTTTATACTACAGAGCTGATGGTAAAGATAAAATATGTTTTTTTTTGTGTACGAGATGGTTGTGGCAGCAGACTACAGCGCAGACTGTGATGAAGAGCTGAGTGTCCGTGCCGGTGAGGTGGTGTTGCTGCTGTATCAGGAGAATGCTGACTGGTGCTATGCCCGACTTCAGAACGGAAAGGAAGGATACCTGCCCACAGCCTGCTTCACTACGGTACTCATGCACACAAACACGTACGATGCACAAATGATACACCACATGGCCTAAGAGAAGAAATGAGTTCTCATTCTGGAATGAATAAACCTAGTTCAATATAATATACTTAGGTGCAAACTGTAATGTTTTCTGACAGTTAATTGCATGTTATTTGCAATTAAATGAAAATATTATAGTTTACATTTATATTAAATGCAGTTATTTGATCTTAAGAGTGCTTTTTTGGACTCCTATAAGTAGGACTTGTTTATATGTAATGTCTTAAATACTTCTGTTGTCTTTGAAATATGATTAAAGTGTACTGCCAAATGTACTGACAAGCATTTATGGTAAACTAAAATAAATGTGAAAGTATTTTCTATTGAAACTTGAACGTTATGATCTTAAATATATTTGTAAATACATTTGTAATGATGAACTTGAAGTTTAGTCAATTTAAAATATATTAACTTGAAATATAATATCAAATAATACACTCGTGTTACATTATAATCAAGTACTTTACATGTGCTTTAGGATGTTAGACAACACATCAAAATAAGTGTACTTTAAAGCACAACAAAAGATTATTAAAACATAATGATTTAAAATGTACTTTTAATTTGACATTAAATTGGGCACTTTATTAACAAAATGCTTAAGTGTAATAAGAAGCATAGTCATGAAAGTATACTCTAAGTATAGTAAAGGGGCCTTTATTTCATTAATATTGTATTATCTGCAATATATTGTTTTTAAATGTACTTCTAAGATTTGAAGTACACTACAAGTGCAGTAGTGCACATTCAATATAATTAAGCACACTTATTTTCCATAAGGGTTAATAGGGAGTTGGTGCTCCCATTGCTGCTGTAACAGCTTCTTGTCTTCTAGAAAGGCTTTCTACTCCATTTGTTTGTACAAAACTTCATTTTAAGATGATTATTTATATAATTTGCTTTAGTGTGTCAGTAGGACATATCAATTTCAACTGAGATGGCCTAAATGTAGATCAAAACTGTGTTAACTTCTCCAAGATGCTTGGAACATTAAAAACAAACTGGAAACCTAAAATTGACTTTTCCTACTGGCACACTACAGCTAAAAATATAATTACCTATCTTAAAACAAATGTTTTTTGAAGCATCTAATATTCATAAGACATACGCACAGTAATGAATGTGTATATATATATATATATATAGAAGCAGGAGTCATTGAGGCCCATTGTGACTCAGGCATCGCAGAGCTTTACACAAACGTTATTTAACTGTAAATTTAAGTTAAAACCTAAAACATTGCTACCGTATTTTTTACGGTAAAATTCCGGCAACCACAGCTGCCGGGTTTTTACCGTAAATTTTACGGAATTTTTTTTACAGTGCATCTAATGATCGGATTGGCTGCTCTGGGTGAGTATTTATGATGTTGTGTAACTCTGATTTGTTTTTGGCGTGTTGTGTGATCACTGGTTGTTTGTGTTTCTAGAGGGCGTTCTCTGAAACTGCCGCGGCGAGCGTCTCTGTCAGGAGTGCCAGGTTCCACTCGATTGCTTCAGCGGCTGCTCTCTCGTCGACGTAGTGACGGACATGCTGTTCGTTCGATCGGCTCCATCAATCCTGCATTTCACCCTGACTGATGCATGCAACCCTAGAGCTCCACCTTTCTCTTCTAAATGGGTCACAGAACAGCAGAAAATAGGACAAGTATGACACCAAAGTTCAGTCTGTATGCAACTCCTTCAGATTTGGAGATAAAACAGAAGTTCGGTGTCCTGATTAGGGTTTGGGGCCTCGGTGACTTCGTAGCCAGTTCGTGGCACTGAACCTGCAACTGGTGTCAAGAATCTTTACCATTACTGCCCCGTGTAAATATGTAAATATTGTGATTTTGATTGGAAATGTCCCACTCTTCTTTACCTATGAATGTATTTGATATGTATGTTTTGACTAATAATACAGAAAGTCTACAATGAGAAATTGTTATTAGTTTATAAATGTGTACGTGTATATATATATGCAATGTTTATATTAAAATGCTAGTGTTGCCAAAGCTAATATCAACCCAAAAAAGTATATCTACTAAACAGTCTTAAAAATATATAAGTTGATTACCAGAGAAAATTATTTTACACAATCTATAAAAGCACACAGAAAAAACGTGATTACAGAAATCCATTTACAATGTAAGAATTATAGAGAGTATTATGTAGTGTATGTACGTTTTAGATTTCCATTTTAAGAGCAACACATTTTTTTTTTTGGTTTTATTTGACCCTGAATGTTTTTTTTAATTCTGCATATTACATAAAAATGATACAATGTCATTTCAACCACACCTCAGACCATAACAAACCACAAAGTATCTAAACTATTATTATCGTTGTTGTTTTTTCCAAATTTGTCATTTTCTATGGTATGAATAGTTAAATGATGGTGTTGACCCTTGATGCTCATTCATTTTTATGGACTTTTTAGCTTGTATTTCGAGGACGTTGGCACATAGCTCTGACTGCTGCAAAATTTCATGAAATTAAAAGTAATTTTGTAATTCACAGGCTATAATGATCATCGCTTCATCTAGCTTAACTAGGAGAAAAATATCAACTCTAATTTGGTAATACGTTACAATTAGGTTTAATTTGTGAATGCATTATGTATTATGAACTAACAATGAACAATTTCTTCAGAATTTATGAATGTTAATAGCAATACATGTACTATTGTACACATTTGTTCATAATACATTGTTACATTTATTTTTACAACCAAAAATATTAAAAATGAATTAGTATACACTCAGCAGGCTGTGGCCAGTAATATTTAATTTTTAAAAGTAATTACTTTTATTCAGCAAGGATTCATTAAATTGATCAAAAATGACAGTAAAGTCATTATAAGTCATTATATAATGTTACAAAAGATTTACATGTCAAATAAATGCTGTTAAATTAATTTTCTGTTCATTAAAGAACCCTGATTTTTTTTTTTTACAATAAGCGGCACAACTGTTTGCAACAGAGATAAGAAATGTTTCTTGAGCACCAAATCATATTAGAATGATTTCTAAAGGATCATGTGACACTGAAGACTAGAGCAATGATGCTGAAAATTCAGCTTTTTCATAACGGATAAATTACATTTTAAAATGTATTACAATAGAAAAGTCATTTAAAATTGTAATATAATATCACAAAATTACCATTTTTACTATATATTTTTTATCAAATAAATACAGCCTTGGTGAGCAAAGGAGACTTCTTTCAGTAAGATTTTTGAAAGTAGTTTATGTAGAATTTAACATCAATCAAGATGGAAAGTATTGTTAATTATTTCATGTTGGCATTAAATTAAATGTTAACATAAAAGCTTATAGTAAACTAATACCACTAATTCACATTGATGTGGTCTACTCTATAGTGACCTATTAAGAGATAATAGAAAACTGCATTAGAAAGTGATTCAGAAACAGCGACCACATCATTTCATACATATGGAATAACTTTATTGTTATTAAGCGAAATGTAATCAAGCATGCAAACAGCAGATTCATCAGCTGCGTAGAATCATCCAACTGTTTTATTGAAAGACAGAGGAGAAACAATCCAGAAGGAAGGGAGGGGATGGGCAGATTCAATATCTGTACAGATGAAAGTATAATACAATATATACCACTATTGTACACTGGAATACAATATATCAAAGAGGGCAGCAGTCACAGAGAAACAACCTGCGCTTGAGTCTGTGTTACATGAAGCAGTAAAACATTTCTTTTGTGCTGCTCTTTACACCAACAATATCAATTATGTTCAAGAGCGAATAAACACACCCACACAGAAAAGTGCTCTGGTATAGATGTTGCCAACATAAAAAATCAAAAACCAATGTTTTAAAATCAAAAACTCATCAAGCCTCCATCATCATCATGCTTCACTTGGCCTTGGACCAAAGTCAGGCCTCGTTCCAATACTCCAGTTTATCCTTTTCAGATCGGATCCTCTGTCATACAGAAGTGTGTCATGCACAAACACTGCAGATCAGAGCCGGGGAGGGTAGAAGACTCATTAAGACTGTTAACAATAGGTTTGGCCACCAGTTTTTTGGCAATGCCGGGTTAAATGCAACAGCTCAG